TCTTTTCTTTGTTTCTAATGAAATGTACTTGCTTCTTAAAAAATTACTTAGCCTTTTTGAAGGAATCTTTTACCTTTGGAATTTCAGTGCCGCTCTTCTTGTCCTCTGTTAAAAAGACTTTCCAAATATTTAAAATGTTGTTTGTTTTACAACACAAAAATATCTCTTTGGTGATATTTTATGTTGAGAACCTTATGATTTTTTTCTTCTGACTGTGAATCACATCTTTGTTGTTGCTTCTTATGCGGAGTGCTATGCTCTTCTCCATTGCTCAAACTTGTTTATGTCTGGCACCACTTCTGACTTTTTTTTTTTAATCATTTCACCCACTGTGAGGTGAGAATGCCACTCATATGCTGAGGGTTACAGGGAATGAAAATGGTAGAAAATACTGAGAGTAGGGAGGATTGTGGAAAAGACAAGAGTTGAACAGGATTCAAGAAGATAGAAGATAGCAATTGACGTTGCATTTAAATTTTTGAAGATTGTAGTTGTCACAGAAGCAAGTAAATGGAATGGAGTTCCACAGGCAGGAAGTGTAAGAAAAGAAACACACAGATTAGAAGTGGCGGTTGCATTTAACTATTTAAACAGTAAATGGGTGGGTCCTAGATGCCAATCTAGTAACATGTTTAAATTCATGTAGTTAGGGCAAGAATTCATGTAGTTGTTGCCAAGAAAATATTTTTAGAAAAGACAGAGTGAACTATATCTCATCAGTGAGAAAGTTACTGAAATTGAGATGCCAAGTCAGGATTGATTACATTACAGATCTTTTTTGGATTTTGTCAAGAATCTGGAGATGAAAAGCAGAAACAACAAGCCAGATATGTGAATAGAATTCAATTTATTGATGAATGGTAGATTTATAATTTTACCATACATAATCATGTCAGCCAATCCTGACCTCAGAATAAAATCTATATACAAATTTGAAGCCTCCCATTGGTTAATATTCTCCCCAATTCTTATCACCATTGTCTATAATTTTACCATGCATTATTATGTTTGCAAATTCTGACTACATAATAAGTTTTACTCAGGCAACATTATTATTAGCTATTTTATAATAAAAGGAATTATTTTAACACAGTACCAGTAATAGGCATTATTACTAGCTGATTCATCATATCTGAATATATATTAACATATTCCTATCATTAACCATCTGAAAAACACAACAGAAAAAGAAGTAAGTGAAAAGTCAGACCTGTAATGATAAAACACTACCTGGTAAAGAAAGCATCAAGGCCACATAAAAATATGTCCATCATAGAAGTCAGCTAATGAAAAACGACCAGTGAAGGTGTGGGTGTGATTCCATACCTTACTTCAAACATTGCATTTGTAAATATACTAAAAAAGCTTTGTTGCAGAAAATACCCTGCTGATATGAAAATGCATCTGATATGCCCGTGTGGTATTAATGGTATTAAATAAGGTAATTTATGTAAGTTTTACAATTCAGGAAATTACATCATATTAACTACAATTGAGGAAATTACATCATATTAACTACAGTGCATATATGCCAACAAAAATGTCAATTCAATTATTATTAACAGAATTTACCACTAGATGTAGTCTAGTTCTCTCTCACACCATGTGACTGGACTCTTTTTGAAATAATTGTGCCGATGAAATGATTTCAAGTAATAAAATAAGTGTGCTGTTTCAAGTAAAATGTGAACGTTTGCATTTACTGAAATGAAACATTTCCTAGAACAAAGCCATCATGCTACAGAGAAAAAATTATTTAAACAAATAAATGCGCTGTACAAAGTCAGCATTGTGCTGGGGATGGGAGTTTGTGTCATGCAAATAGAGGGACATAATTTAATGAAGCTCCCACTTGTAGTTGGTAGACAAGAGTAAATTTATGATAAAGGATAAGATCCAAAGAAGAATCTGCAATATTATTGGTCCTGATCGGGAGGCTAGGCTTCAGTCACTTTCCCACGACTGTAAGGTGGCTTCTCTGTGCCTTTTTTATAAATACTTTCATGGTAATTGTTTTGGATGAGCACTTCGCTATGGTACCAAGACTGTATGAATTTAGGCATTGTACTAGACCAGCAGTGAGATCATATCAACAGAGTTGAGCTAACTAGATATAGCTGTAACTTCATTGCTAACAGTTTCTTTTCTCACACTTCTTGCTTGTGATCCCCCTGTCTCTATGCTTTCCAATAAACTTTAATCTGCAAAAATTTAAATGCAATGTCAATCACTATTGTCATTTGATTGCTCTTTTCTCTTTCTCCTCATGTTTCTGTTCTTAATTCTCTAAACCTTTGGTATGATAGTGGCTGTACTACTTTGCTTGGTTTGATACCGAATAAAAAAGAAAAAAAATAGAAAAACGTAAGCTGATTAGTTAAGCTGTTTTTTCTTACAAAATAGATATTAAGAAGTAATTTTTCTTTGATAAATATTTATTAAAAAGTGTTTAGCATGTTTCTTATTATGTGATATTGTTGTACACTTATTAAAAATTTTGGTAGAACTTTCTCTCTTATACTTTGTTAAAGGAACCAATCTAAAGTCCGTATAATATAATTAGCTGTATAATTATTGAATTAGATCTGGCTCAATGAGCAACATGACATGTTCATTGCAAACATATATGGCTGCTCTGTTCTAATTGGTTTGTATTTCAATGTCTTGCTGTTATTTGTGAAAACAGCTTGTAGCAGGCTTTTAGGCTGCATGAATTGATGGGCAAAGAAGTTTATAGGAAAACGAAGAGAACAAAATAACTGTAGAAAGAGAAATAGTATTTATGATTATCAATTTAAAAAAAAATTATTAAAATTCAGAAATAAACAACAGATGCACCATGAGATATATTGCACTTATTAGATAATGTTGCATAAAGTCACTGACAATGAAACCACAGAAGAGTGTAGTTGTACTTAATTCATACCAGTGGAAGATATAGAATTCTGAAAATGAGATTACAGAAGGTTTGCAAGAGAGATGATTATAGTCATAATGATGCCACTTTCATGGTTTCTGCCTTTGAAGAATATAAAAGAAATTTCAAACAAATCCTATAAAAATTATAAATGAAATAATATGATGGAAAAAATAATCCCATTACTTCAAATAAAATTAATAGAAAAAATATATATATATATATAAAAGAATTCAAAAGCTGTATATATGGATATTTCTCCAGCAAAAATAGCAGTTTAAAAATTTCAAATCTGGATAACATCTCTAGTGTCACTCAAGCTAAGAATTAAGATCCTTGAAAAATAATGAGGACTCTTCAAAAGATTCAGTTTTAAAGAATATTTTTGCTTAGAAAAACAGAACACATGACGGGTATAAATAGCAAGACATTGAAACACTAAATGACAAAATAAATGGTTTCTGAATCGGGGCATTCGTGAAACCTTCCAGTTAATAAATTAATGCTTTGAAAATAAATATTTAAGATTTTTAAACCAACAGGTTACGTTCCCACTGAAAATAATAAAAAAGAAATGTTCATGATCCTTTTGAAGGGTATATAAGCAAAGTTCCTAGAAAAGGCAGCCAGTAAGGAAACGGAAAAGCAACAGTTAACAACGACACGGTTTAAAAGAAAATCCCCTTACTCACCAAACTATGTAACACTTACACTTTCCCCACTTCACTTTCTCCCTTGCCTCTTCTTTCTCACAACTATACGCGAAGAAATAACATTTCTCTTCATTTTAACAAGCAACTAAAAACAAGGACTGTAAGAACTTGACGGAGTTAGCTCCTCCTTAATTCCCTAATTATTCACCAGGGATTATTCTCCATATACTATAAATACTACGCGACTTCTCGCCTCGTTCCTTTTTTCATTTCTTCATTTCAGCGAACGCATCTACAATGTAAGCTCTCACAAAAAGATAACGTCTCCCTACGGGAAGACGCCATGAACATTATACACACATACACGTACGTACGAATATTCACCAAAGAACAGACACAAATGTTCACACACACACACACACACACACACACACACACACACACACACACACACACACACACACACACACACAAATGTTATTGTCTATGTCCATTGTAAAATTGTGTTGTTTAATACATCTATTTGTATATATATATATATATATATATATATATATATATATATATATATATGAAGAAATATAGTCTTAAGATGTGCTATATTTATGGGATAAAGTGGTCAATATCAGAGATAGAGCGTGTGTAAATATAAAAAGTGAATATAGAAGTCAACGCTCTAAGTGTTGACTTCTATGTTCACTTTATATATATATATATATATATATATATATATATATATATATATATATATATATATATATATATATGTTGGTCTTGTTTGTTTTCTTTATATCTTTGGTTGGACAACTTGTGTCCGGCATTGTTCTTGTAGCCCGACCTTCTTCTAGCAGGAATATACAGCTCGTGTTCCAAATGCAACAACACGTAAAACTACACAGTCCTCTACAACTAGACACAGGCATATCTAATAATTATACTAAATCAACAAATAAACTCATCCTAAATGTAAGTCTCTCACATTCTTTTCTAGGAACTAGTCCTCTACAAACTTTAACACTCATACACGCTGAGAAAAATTTAATTGTAAAAAACACGAAAATACAATCCGTTGCTAATGATGCTGGGAAAATGATACATTCATTCATTTATTCAAGCAAATACATGATGTCTGGAAGGTCACTATGGACTTATATTTTTATTAATAGACATGTTTTAGCATAGAATACAGGAGGAGAATATGAATGAAAATTATAAACAATGATGAAAGTGACACCCGTTAGCATTAATACAGGCTTGGATCCTTCATATTTTGTTTGTGAACACCACTATCAGTCGCTCGCTTGAAAAAGACTAATTGAACACAGTTATCACCACTTTTTGTATTATTGAAAATATTATATAGATAAATGAATTGCCTCTCTTTGTAGGGGTCGTTATCCCGGCCCCTGGTTTGGGGTGAAAGCAGCCTATCACGGCCCCTTTTTTTCCTGGGCCACCGACAAGTCAACACGTACTAATTTAACTCCGCAAAACTCAACCAGCAGCCACATAGTGCCCGAAAATGGAGCAGCCAAGAATACGACATAGGAACGAGGAATGTCCGAACAGTTGCAGCAAAGCATCCGAAAACGGAATCCCTCTTCAACCTGAAGACGAATATATTCCGACGTTGCAATGAAAATGAGAAGAACTGTTAACCGAACGAACTTTACTGCCACCAGTTAAGTCCTCGCAAAAACCACTGCAACGATTTTTAAAAACCCAATTTTTCTATCTTTCCTTTTCTTTCTTCCTCTTTCTGATATAAAGCCTTTCTTTTTTCCACTCAAGTTTGATGTCATCTTGTTTTCTCTCGCCGTGTTGCGTCAATACTCTTTTTACACTTATTTTCTACTGAGAACAAATTATTGGTCACATAAATTCAAAGAGTATAAAAACCCGCATAGTTATTTCGCATGTGAAGAATTAATTTTTGGCCTGATGGTTTTATCCGCATTTCCAAGACCAATATCTTTCTGCTGCGCTAACTCTCGCAATACTTTTGGGAGCCGCTGGATACTGTTCAACAGTTTCTCCTCCACTAGTTTTGCTGGTCATCCACAACGTTCAGCATCGTCCACTGATCCTGTTTCCTGATAATTAAAAACAAGCTTTCGAAATGCATTGCAACGTGGAAAAGGCGTATCTGAAAATTTATCGGCAAAACGCTATCGCATCAAATATGCGTATCTATCACCTTCTCGAAGTAAATGTTCGACGGGAAATACTCATTCTTCTGTTGTTAAAACCATATTAAGGTGAAAACTGAAATATAAAATATATGATTAGAAAAGTACACAGAAACTTTCCGATGATCCTGTATATGTCGCCTTCTAAAATGATTTATATTTCTGAGATCCTTGTTAAAAAAATGGAACCTTGCATATTTTACGCATATGGATTATGAATATAAGGCGGATAGATAAGGTTGTACTTTATGTGCGTTCGGTGGTTATCCGTTGTGGCTACAATGTGACATTTAGGTGCATATTGTCCTTTTGCAATGATTAAATGACATACATAATACAAACTGATAAGGTGATATGTATGTATATATATAGTTGTATATTTAGGCAGCAATCCTTCCTTTATTGATGTTTCATTAAAAACGACAGACAAGGTAATACGGTTAAGCTTTTTATTTAATTTTTTTTTGTGTTCGAACAAGAGCTTTCTTTTCTGGACAAAGAGTGTGTAAAAACTGTTCAAATGTTTTATATTTCCGAGCGCTTTCTGCTATACCTTTAGACATTATCAAGAATGATTCCATTTTTCAGCTTAATTGAGTGGGTGCATTATATGTATGCTTTAGTGTGTTGTAGAGATGTTTTTAATTTCCGAATACGGTTAGCACATTGTGGCCTTGTTCGTAGTTAATATTGTTAAGAGTTGGCTTTTTCTTTTTTTATTATTAAAGCCTCCACTATTTTTATATTATTACAATTATTATTATATTATCATTACTATTATATATATATATATATATATATATATATACACACACAAATACACGTGTGTGTGTATGTGTGTGTGTGTGTATTCAAATGTTTATAGCCGCCACTTAGAAAGTGGTGAAAGAAGAAATGTTTGTTTTCAATGTAGCAAGGACGTGTTAGCCGTCTATGATCATTGTTCAAAGGTTGTATTTTATCACTGGGTATGCTATGATGACCACAACATCGAAGAATGGACAGAATTAATTTATCAATTCAATATTTACCCGAGCACCCACAGAGCTGGATGTGGCACAAAGCCAGTTTGATGTGGATTTTTCCGAGTCCGGTCAAAATTTCCCCGTAGACCCAGTAATATCCGGGTCGGGCTTGTCTACCTTCCCAGATAAGACTGGGTTCCTCTCTGCCCGAAGGCAGTAAATTTGACAAGCACTAAGAGCTTAGCGTGCGGCTAAGACCTAATGCTAGCTCTGATTTTGGTCGATAGCTCCACTTTGAAAAGGCCACACCCTTTTCATTGGCTCATGGCCTTTATCTTGGTTTTGAAAGCTTTCTGATTAGTTCACTGAACTATTTTTAGAAATAGTAAAATTTTGGTATCCTTGTTATTATTTGTTTATTTCTTTTCTTTCCTCTTGGTAATGAAAACTTTCTGATTGGTTGGTCGAACTATGTTTTTGTTTGGTTTGCGATTTTTATTATCCGTCTATTTTTAGAGTAGTAAATTAATGGTTTTGTTATTTATTTTTATTTATTTATTAAGGTTGCATTATTTAAGGAAGTTTCGAGGTGCTCTCTTCCACAGAGTTGCAGTTCGAGAAAACTAACTTATCTTATTTTTTGTACATTTAGAACACAGAAGAAATGAGGGTGATTCGACACCGTAGAAGTAGCATAGCGATTTGAGAAAAGAAAAGTCTAATCTCCCCAGTCATTGCTGTTCGCAATTTTAGGCTAACTGTGCATTCATTCCGCTAATGGTTTCTGCAGTCGGAACATATTCTTTTTTCTATATCTGTCTAACGCACTCGTTTTTTTTTCTTTCTGTTCGACGTTTTCAGTTGTAATAAGAAGTCAGCTTGCTTAGAGACATTTATTAGATCAATTTTTATCAGAAATTTCATTGTATAAATATAAATTGTCCGGAGAAACGAGTTTATAATTTATGCCTCCGTGTTCATTTGTCCCGCAAACAATATTTGGCGGACCCATATGAGTCCGGTAATGCAAAAGGCTCAAAACATGGACTTCAAACAAACATCAATTAATAAATTTATTTAAAAGATATGTTTACAGAAGGATACAGAAAGGAACACAGTTGAATTTATGAACAGTTATATACAATTTACGTCTCAGAATTACTGACATGGCTCGGGTCAACGTGAATGAAAAAAAAAAAAACGGGTTGCTGCTCCATAAGTCAAAAAATGTCGAAAATGTCCTGTATAGGAAAGCTTAATCGCACTATCACCGTTACTATAAAATAATAGTTATTTTCCTGTGTAATCTCCTGCCATGTCTCTAGGTCTTTTAAGTTTCTTTGCCCGGACAATTAGCGTTACTGTTGGTTGAAATTTATAAACTACTTTTCTTAAAACAGCTTTTCAGAAAAATAGTCCTCTCAAGTCAACTGTTATCACAATTTATAATATTGATGGGGGTTTCCTTCCTAACTTTTTGTTTAAAGTCCTGTGGAAATTCAAAATCTTAATCACATTATTCTTTTCACTTCCAGTTACATGTAGTATCTAATTTAGTTCTTGCAATTTTTGAAATTCTTCAAGTAAAGAAATTTTGTTATTTGTTAAAGTTCTTTGTGAATCTGATGAAGAATTGTCTGCTTTTAAATCTAGAGGGTTCATTTGTTTGAAGCCATTTTAAATATTGGATATAAGAAAAGGGATTCGTACAGCCGAGAGTTTAGACATTTCTGAAAGAATTGGACACTAAATCTGACATCGATATAAGGATTTAGAAAGGGCGAGGTTTAAATTGTTGCGGGAATGGTAAGTGTTTATATTTTATGCCTCCGGGTCCATTTGTCCCGCAAAAAATATTTGGCGGACCCATATGAGTCCGGGTAAAGCAAAAGGCTCGAAACATGGAATTCAAACAAACAACAATTAATAAATGTATTTTGAAAGATATGTTTACAGAAGGATACATAAAGAAACAAACTTGAAGTTATGAACATTTATATACAATTTCAGAAGTACTTATATGGCTCGGGTCTATGGGACTGAAAAGAAATGGGTTGCGGCTCCATAAGTCAAAGGGAAAAGAGGAAGTGTTTTTCGAATATCGCGCCGCCTATGATTATTGTTAGATGTCGTTAATCCAACAAAGTATATGACTCGTGTTCTTACGTTAATATTTTGGTTTGGTTGCATCTTGATATTGTGGACAGAGCTACACCTCGCCCAGCCTGTTCTATAAGGGTCGAAAGATATTAAAGTTCATTATTAAAATCATTATAATGAATGAGATGCGTGATACGAATGAAAGGGAATACGGATGAATGTGAAGATTATAAAGATGAGAAGGATAGGTAACGATTGATACTTGACTTTAAAAACGTCTTTAAAAAAAGAAATTAAAAAGGAACCTTTGATCTTTAATAATTCAGTATAAATTTATTTTTCAGGTGGAAAATAGCGTCTTTTACGTCCGGGAATACGTTAATTATGATATTGCTTTGTTTGGTAAATTTTTACGTTCTTTAAATTTGTACTTTATTTATACATTCGATCAATAACAACGAAAGAGAATTATTCCAACGAGTTGTGTTTTATTCAGTCATTTTTTGTCAAGATTTGCAAAGTAATATTTGATTGATTAAAAATTCATTGATGTTCCTGTTTTATTTTATAATGGACTTCACCAAAACAAACTAACATAATTAAATTACAACATTAACTAATGTTTCAATTACTTCTTTGTCAGTGAAACCTGTTTTCGTAGATTTTTATTAAATTAGTGTTGATTAGCATGTATGGAAACCCATAAGTTTCAATGACAATTATACCAATATGCTAATTCATTGATTGGTAAATTGTTAAACATAAACAAATATATTAATCAAATCTTTGCATACAACATAAATATACGCATGTGTTTGGTCCAGTAACTTATAGATTTTAAACGCAAGGTTATTTTTCTTGAGACAAATTTGAAATAAAATGTTGAAACAACTGAAATTTCCCCTTTTATAAAACAGTAAGGTGTTAAGGATGAGGCATGTTGGATTAATGGATAGCGGCTCGAATTGAGGAATCGAAAAGCAGAGTTTGAATTCCAGTCAAATCCATTACATTCATCTACGTGTTAATACCCTTGGGAAAGGTATGGAACCTCTTCTTCTCTTCCCCCCAGCTATGGGTAAATAGCAGGACAGGCAGGGTTCTATAGCCTTGGATGTCAACTGGTCTATCGCAGAAAGAAATGGCAACCTACTGCGGAGGAAAAAAAACTGCCTCGTCAGTCATGTATCGAAAGATACATGATCGCCTAAGCATGTATCACGCATGGCACATAACTGACTGACTGAAGGTATTAACAGGAAAATGCCGTTAGAAACGAAGAAGAGAGCACTGAACTTATACGTAATATCCGTCCTCCTATATGGCAGTGAGCTCTGGGCAATTTACTCACAGATGTAGAAGAAAATTGACGCAAAAAATTGGGGTTGTATAGAAGGATGATGAGAATACAATGGACGAAAGACGTGAGAAACGACGAAGCTTTAGAGAAAATGAAAGCAAAAAGGGCACATACTTAACCTGAGAAAGACAGTTAAATTTTTAAGGTACATCATGAAGAAAGACATCTTGGAAATTGTGTCATTCACAGGACAGATTGAAGGAGTGTGGGACAGAAGAAAACAATACGTAACCAACCAAGCGAACTTGAGTAAATGGATGACATAACAATGTTTAGCAGAGATACCAAAAAGACAACATATATTAAGAGCGACAAATGAGAGGGATTTTTGGAGAGCCATGATCGCCAATGACCTGAGGAGACACGGCATGACGAAGAAGAATAAGAAAACAAATCAGAAGAATTAGAATAAAAGGAATGACAATAAGAATTGGGGAGGGTAACTTGCAGACGGAAAAGTGGAAAGGAAGAAAAGTTTTTAGTGCCTTTTAAATGAACTTCGAAGACAACATTTAGACATTCTTTTTACGTTTATTCAATCCCACATTTGCTATTTTATTCCATTTATTCTCAGCATCCTTGAGGTAGCTTCGTGATTCTGTCATCCCAGAAATTGGCATCTTTCTTGGTCTAATGGTGTTTTTACAGGATTTCAAAGAATTCAAGTTATTTCAATTAAGAGAACTTTATAGGAACCGAAAGAAGTTTTAAGGTGTAAGGTTAGGTGACTACGGCGTTTGAAGTAGAAAATTCTATCCAAGCTGTACCAATATCTGCTAGATGTGCAGACATTAGATCTGGCGTTGTCCTGATGGAAAACGACACCTTCGCTATTGGCCAATCCTGGATACTTTTAATCGATTTCTCTTCTTAATCGATCGAAATAGAATCAGTACTTGGGTGTAATCAACGCTTAATTTTGCAGAAGATCCTAATACAAAATTCTCTTCCAATGAAATGAAGAGCGATTTTCTTCAGTGCATTTCATTTCACATTGTTGTAAACAATCCATGCGCCGTAGTAAACGTTTCTTTAAAAATTGAATTGCTTTACGCATCGGCAGAGAATCGCAGCTGGATATGAGGCAAATTATTAAGCGGTTAAATAGTGTAGCGATTTGCATATCAAAATGATGTCAAACGCCTTACAATACTTATAGGAGACATGCGGAGTATTTCTGCAATGTCCCGTATCATCTGACCTGGATTATTTTTAACCAATGTTTCGATTTGGACATCATCAGCAACAGCAGACCTGCTAGAACCTTCACAATCATCCATATCAAAATTCACACTTCGGAATACTTACGAACAGCATTCTCTGCTATGGAACCATCTCCAAAAAACAGCACTCATTTTTCTGCATGTATAGAGAGTTTAATATTCATTTTCTTCCATTCTTCTCTATGGACCTGAATAAAAGATACATTGAAATGTTACCTTTCAGAATATGAAACGAAATTGCACTTTCAAAGGCCACCTATTGCTAATCTTAAGAAAATGTTGTTCCAATCCAATAACTTATATAAATAAGGTAAGTATAACGCGCAAGTAGTAATTATACCTGTTTTTGTGTCTATAGTAGAGATTAGAAAATCTTATACACAGTGACCACATGTTAAATAAGGTTACCGACATTAATAAAAACACGACTACACATGCACACACTTTCATTTTTTGTTCATAATTCCAATATTCAAAATATTACAAAATTATTCTTTCGCAGAGTCTTTTCGTTAAATCATTACGATCGATACTTTTGATTAAAAACTGTTTCTCGGATGGGCACTTTATTTGTCTGTTTGTGCAAAATTTTCAATTATAGGATTCTAAATTTTAAAGTTTTGTTCTTGACAAATAACAAATATAGCGTAATTAATTGCCTTGCCAAGAAAAATGTAAACAATGTTTGTTAAGATTAATGGTATTTCTTGCAGAGCAAATGTTTATTATTATTTTTTTATAAAATCAACAAGAAATTAATTTGCAGCAAAACGTTTAAATTATTGCAGAAATGATTTTTTAAGTAGCATTGTCATTCAGTGACAGAAACGTTTGTGAAACTTTCTGTAGTCATAAACTAAATTCACTAATTTACAAGTATAGGGCAACCAATGAGGATCGAACCCATAACCTAGTAGTAAAGATATGCAAGACATTTCAGGAACCATTATCCACTGTTAAAGCGCCCATCGGTATTTCGCTAGTGCCGTTAGAAGTACCGCATTTACTTCAGCCATAGTAGTGAGAGATTAGAGAAAAGATAGCCTGTCAGAGCTGAAACCTCTTCAGAGCTTTCCTTTTACTAGACTCGTTGTTGCATCACAGCAAGGGAGCCAATTCTGCCTTGCGGAAAGATGGATTCATGCCTTTTCCAAAAATAAAAGGAACAGAATCGAACGAGAATTTACCTCGGCACACCTAATCAAGTTTTCCCACCGATAACCATTTCACTATCGCGCATCGCCATAAGTATTTACTAAGCTTGTATTCGCTTGCGTTGCATCAGAGTTGAAGCGATCCTTCTGAGAGTTGAACTCAGTACATTATCACTGAACTGCGAGCTTAGTTTGATCACTGTCCGAGAGAAAGTATTTTTACCAATTTAAATTTTATAGACCCTTAAGAATTACCTGAAATAAGAGAAGAATATAACATTAGTTTTGTCTTGTATGGATACATATAATATGGGATTTCTTTGTATGCAAACTCACCAATCTGTGAGATTAAATCTCATTGGCCAATCAGAAGTATCTCTGGTTGACTAAGTTTAGCTCATAATTCTGCAGAAACCTGCCACTACACAATCTTTATTATTTTTGATAAATTTCAGATGAGCGCTATTCTTTAGTACCATCAGTTCAAATATTTATGGCTACGAAAACAGATGCTACTTCCACACACTCGAACTGTCGTAATTTCCCCCAAATGTGTATACCAAATATAAGTTGATAAGTTGGTGGATTTAATAATACCTACCGTAGGTACAGATATTTACCAAAAGCTTAAAAACAATATGGATGTTTCGTCCCTTTACGCGAACATTCCACATGTTGAACGAGTATCAGCTTGCTATGAGTTCATTAGTAACAAAAAATTACCTAACTACCAAATTACAGATATATTCTAATTAATAAATTTCATTTTAACATAATAATTAAATTTAACAACAAACACTATTTTCAGATTAGTGTCACAGCAATGGGCACGAAAATGGCACCTAGCTATGCTAATATTTTTATGCACATTCTAGAAAGGAAGATACTAGACAATTCAGAATTTAAACCATTACATTATTTCAGATATATTGATGACATTTTCTTACTATGGACTCAGGGATCAGAAAAATTAAAAAAAACTTTTTACTTTTTGCAACAACTTTCAAATTACCATGGAGCACTCATACACATCCGTACCTTTCTTAGACGTTATGATAAAATTAAACAAACATACACTTTCTACCAGTCTATACAACAAACCCACAAACCAACATAAATTCCTACACTTTAACAGCTGTCATCCCCTTAAATTAAAAAAAATCTATTGTATACAGCTCATTTCTAAGAATCAAACGCATATGCTCAGACTATCTAGATTTTCTATACAACATTAATAACTTAACAAAACATTTCCGAGAATGTAAATACCCAATAAAATAATAAAAGAAGCACTAAATAAAACTATACACATAAATCGTAACACACTTCTCACATACAAGAAAAGTAAAAACAACAATCGGATTCCCATGGTTTTTAACCACAATCAATATTCCCACACACTTATTCACAATTTAAAAAAGGATTACAAGAACCTCCAGTTAGACAAAAAGATCAAAGTCATTTTCAATAAACCACCTATAAATGCAAAGAAACAATCACCTAACCTATCAGCTATCCTCACCTCCACCAAATATCTAAAGAATACAAACCAATCAGGAAATTACAAATGTAACAAACCTGGTTGCTTAGTTTGCAAACACTTAATAATAGATAATGTATTTTCTCTACCCAACACCAATATCAAGATATACCCACCTAACCTCACCTGTGATAGCCATAACTTAATCTACTATTTATTCTGCACAATATGTCCTAATAGTGGATATATTGGTGAATCTGGAAATAATTTTAGATTTCGCTTCAACAATCATAAACAAACCATACGTCAAAACAATCCTTACTCCCCCATAGCTGAACACTTTAGTCAATCAGGACACTCATTAGAAAACTGAAAATGTTTATTGATAGATTCTGATTTCAGTTCCACATACACACGCAGAAAAAGAAGAAAAATACTTGATTTTAAAATTAAATACATATAAACTAGGGTTAAATAAAGACTTGGGTATTTTAAATCTTTATAAATAGTTCAATAGTTAAACATTTTTTTAGATATAGTTAAAATTTTTATTTTTTAAGCAACATCTAAAATATTATTACAGTTAGATTTACGTGAAGAATATTCGAACAGTGGCGTTCCATATCACGTGATGACCGCATCTCACGACGGACGCTACTTGTAAACAAGCAGTTATTTCTGAAGAAAGATTGAAGTCAATCTGAAATATCAAATATATATATATATATATAAATAAATAAATACTTTCATAAAAAAAACATTATTATTTTTTTAATTTGCAACTTTTTAGTTGTTGTTTATATATATATATATATATATATATATATATATATAGAGAGAGAGAGAGAGATAGAGAGTGAGGGGAGATAGAGAGAGTGAGACAGAGACGTAAAGAGAGAGAGATAGAAAGAGAAGGAAAGAGAGAGATAGAAAGAGAATGAAAGAGAGAGAGAAAGAAAGAGAAGGAAAGAGAGGGAGATAGAAAGAGAAGGAAAGAGAGAGATAGAAAAAGAAGGAAAGAGAGAGAAAGAAAGAAAGAAAGAAAGAGAAGAAAGAGAGAGAAATAGAAAGAGAAGGAAAGGGAGAGAGACAGAAAGAGAAGGAAAGAGAAAGAGACGGCTAAAGGACGAAAATGAAAGATTTATTTTGCCCAAGAATTACATGCTAACAAAGTATAAAAACTGTTTTACATGCCTTCTTTTTGATCCTGAAAAGAAAACTAGCGAGTATTACAACAATCCTCATTCTAAAATCCAGAACGACATGCTGAAAGATGTCCACAACATAATCTCTTCTCTGCATAGAATGTGTTTCATTGGCTGGTGCTCAAGGCTCACATAAACAGCCAAGCACTGTGCATACTCATCAAGGAGGAGAATTAAAATTAACTTAAAACTATATATTCCAAATATATATTCGGTTGTTAATTGGGGCAAGAATTGGCTGGTCAACTTTAACGCCTCAAAAACTAAACTACTCTCCATTAACCACCATAGAGATCCTTCCCTGCCCCCGCCCCCATTAAAATGTCTGACAGTCAACTTCCTGAGAGAAACTCCCTGCGTCTGCTCGGTCACACGTTGACTGCTGACCTGAGATGGAACAAATACATTGAGTCAATTGCTTCTTCCACCGCGAGAAAAGTTGGCTCTCTGTGGCGCGCCAGGAAAATTTTCTCCCCGGGATCGATACTTCAAATATACAAATCAACCATTCGCCCTTGCATGGAGTATTGCTGCCATATAGGGTCTGGGGCACCTTCTGTTTACCTCTGTTTACAAGATCCAGAGACGGATATGTAATATAATTGGCCCTGATCTGGCGTCTCGTCTACAGCCACTCTCTCACAGACGCGCCGTCGCCTCTCTCTGTCTTTTCTACAAATACTTCCATGGTAATTGCTCCGATGAGCTGCTTTCACTGGTTCCCAGACTCCATGAATTCAAGCGCCCTACGAGGCTGGCATCCCGCTCCCACCCTTACACTATAGAAACTTTTAAATGTAGCCGTCTCTTCTACTCCAATAGCTTCATAACTCGCACCTCTCGCCTGTGGAACATCCTTCCCCATTACTGTTTCCCTGAAAGCTATAATCTACAACTATTCAAATGTAATGTAAATCGACATCTCCAGTTACCTTGATCTACTCACTATCCTTCTCCTCATCCTTTCTTCTATCCTCCTATCTGCTCTCGCTCCAAATCTTCTGCAACCCCTGCATCCTAGTGGCTTCACGCCTTGCTCGGGGCGTAATGCTTAATATATATAAATATATATATATATATATATATATATATATATATATATATATATATATATATATATATATAAAAGAAATGGACAAGGTCCGACAATTTATTTATTAAAGACATTTTTATGTTTAACGTTGTTATTTATAGATACAAGTATTTAAGCAAATGCTCTGTTTATGATAAACTGTATTAAATAACATTTACCGGCCTGAATGTCCGAGAAATTTTCATAGAAAAATTCGTTCTTTGACAGGATTCAAACCTGCATCCTAAATGACGGTTCATTTATACGATGCTTAGGTTCGACCTCTCAAAGAACGAATATTTTCTATGAAAATTTCGACATTCAGGCCGGTAAATGTTATTTAATACTGTTTATCATAAACAGAGCATTTGCTTAAATACTTGTATCTATAAATAACAACGTTAAACATAAAAAATGTCTTTAATAAATATATATATATATATAAAAAGAAAATCCATTCACTCTGAGTTTTCTCAAGAATTGGTAACCTGTGGAATATACTCCTATATGGATGTTTTTTTTTTTTTTACAGATGACGAAAATCTTTACAGGTTATGGATCCTCATTATCTTCTCTTCCTACCACATCTTTCATTCACATCGCGCCGCATTCATCATAACATGTTTAACAATAACACTGTACCGTGATTGGCTTTCGAGCCTTAAATTTGATGATATTTAATATGAAAAAGACAGCAGAAAATAATCGAGTGAGGATCGAACTCACTTGTAGTGGTTACCGGCATTAAATTTATCAGCATGTCTGCTCGTTGAATTTTGGCTCATACGTCACAACCTGTTATCGCGTGTCTGTTCATATTTTCCTCCCGCGCTTGTCTCCTGACCTTTGACCTTGAAGAATCGTAATACGATTTCCAGCGTTATTGTTCATTTCATTTGAGTCATGTTGCTGGCGAATAGTTTTTGATGTCTTTCACTTTCATTTGTCTAAAATAGTTCTTCAAAGCTTCGATATTATGACTGCTTTTCAAATCTCTCTTAAAACTTTCCATTGGTATTTTCGCTTTTTCAGAAGGCGACGTCGACAAAAATCGACATTTGACCAATAAATATTCCTTTTATAAGACAGTATGTCAAAAACTCACGCTATGGTGACCTATTCGTAATATGTTAGACTCGTCTGCTGCAGATCTCTACCACGAAGAGGCAAGTAATCTTTTCAATCATGGAGTCATAAAATCTTCGTAGAACAGTTGTCTCCTAGTAAGAGCCTTTCTTCTTGAACGACTTTGCATTAGAATTATCTTTGGCCACATGTTAAAAATGTAAACGTTGAGGATTGCTCCACTTGGCAGTAAAAAGAGACTTGAATATTTGAAATAATCAGATCGGATCATGTGCGAGATATCCAACCGACCTATGTCATTTTTTTTTTGTATTTCAAACGAAACTATATTTCAAATATTATCTCTTGTTACAGATCTATCACTGCAATAAGCAGTTAAGGGAATAAAAATATTTTAAAATTTTACTTGTGTTCGGAAAAGAAAGAAAAAGGGATAAGCGTAAGCAAAGTTGTTGAAACCTCCACATAGATTTGCGATAAAAAGTTTTCCAACATTGCCTTAAATCACATCGATCAATCAAAAGTAAAATGAAGTAATATTTATTGCGATTTTACTGAAACTATCTAGTATTAAGTACCTTTTAGACGTCTAGAATTTATATCGGTTTGGAAATATTTAAAGATATCAACAACTGAGATCTGTTTAGATAGATTCTGGTAACCGAACAGTTTGCCTACCCACAGTTTACCTAAGGGCCATTATGTCTGTAGTGAACTCCTTATTATCACCCTAGCGCTGGAATTGCTCTGCCACCAACCATGAATAAGCACAAATATAACACCCCCGCCTGCACTTGAATCTCTTCGTGACATTGCCCACAATTTATAGAATTTCCGACTATGTCCGTCAATTCTAGATTATTTTTTGGTTTCAAATTTGATTTTTTAATCTTATTTTATATATGCTTTAAAAATAAATTGGAGACATGATTTTATTTATATCTTTTTTATTTATTGTAAAATTCTAATGAACGTAAATAAAATAAAATATATGAAAATAAAATGAAATAAAATAAAAAAAAACATTTTCCAGATAAGAGAGTTTTTTTAGTCTTGTCCTTTAGACATCATATCCGTTATCTATAAAGCTCGGTAGACATAGTGCCCGTAAATATAACGTCCGATGTCTAGTTGGTAGACTGTCCTTTAGGAAAATACGGATTTGTATGGTGTATTTTCTCAATCCATATATTTTGCTCAGGGAAGTTCTCTAGAAGACAGTGGTTCCTTGCAGCAAAACATAGAGAGAGACAAAAGAACAGCTTCCCGCGACGCAACAAAGAAAACATGCCTAGGCCTAGCTTGTCTACTGCAAAAGGTTACAACCGAATAAAATTTGCCTACTGCTACAATCATATGGTTTTATTTCGTGGGTAATGATTTAACCAAAGCGGTATTTTTTAAACCAAAAACGTTTGACTGAAAGAAACTCAACCCTGAGAACAAACCTTGTAATCTGGTCTTATCTGTAACTCTACACATCCCACAGAAAGCAGTTTGGAAGTTTTAAAATAATTTCTGAAGCACAGATATAACTGTTTAGCTTTGAGGTCATTCATTAACTTATAGATGATTTTATAAAAATATAAATACATGTACCTACTAAAACATAACCTTTCTTGGCATTTTAATAAAAATATTATACTTAACATTTTTCGCCATTATTCTATGCCCAACAGATACGAATTGACAATATGCATCATTAAAAAGTCCATAACGTTCTGAATATGAAGATATTATTTCTCAATTTCATTAAATCTCTTCTACGCTTAGAATACTTCCAGTTCAATTCTACAGGATGAGTAACCATTGTTCGTATCAATTATTGTTCGCCGAGGGAGGGAGTCTGCTAAGATAAACAGAGATTAGCAAATTTTTTAGTGATACCAAATGTTTTGCATATTTTTCTGCAGTTCCAGAATACTACTGTAGTGTTGCTCGATAATGCTTCATATCTTGGCTGCGATGGTTAAATTGTCGCTAGTTTATATTTGTAATTTCGCACATGCGCGTTGTTTGTGTTTGATATTGTTGACTATATAGTATAGGAGGTTCAGTTGGACACAGTCTGTGAGAAAAAGAAAACAATGACGCAATTCAATGCGCCATAAATTTGGAAACAACATGCAGTACTGCTAGGCATTTCACATGGAAGCTCCAATACGAACATTTCCGGGTGTTTGGGTGTCAATGTGAGGACAGTGCAGAGGATTGGGAAAGAGTTGGACGAGTCTAATGCTGATTACGAAGGTGCGGTAGCTAGGGGAACTCCTTCTGATCGTTCAGATAAGAAAAGAACTCCAGAATTTGTTGATGAGGGCCTCAGACTCGACACAGAGGCCTGCAATCAAGTGTCCTGGGTCGAGAGGGTGGTGCCTGGAAAATCCTGTGTGTGGCAACAGGACTTTTCACCATGTCACACAAGCATGAGAACCCAGTCATGGCTGTTAGACAATTTCTGTGGCCACATAAACCCTTAAATCTTGCCATCTAATTCCTCAGAGTGCAACCCCCTTGATTATTAAGTGCAGGACACAGTTGAAACAAAACTCTTTGTAACGGCAAAGATGAAGTGAAGGGAATGACTATGGCAGCATTCACCAACTTAAACAAGGAGACCGTCCAGAATAGTTGCGGGAGATTCTAAAGTCGTCTGGAGGCTGTGGTTGAAACCAATGGTGATTTTATTGAATAAATGTACTATTTAGTACTTCATGATATTTTTGCGTAATTTTGGTAAATATATCTGTTAAAAT